ATCGAAGCTAAGAAAGAAAATGTAATTTTAACAGTTTCACACTCTGTAAGCAGCTCATTTGAACATGTTTTATTTTCCACATCAGTTTATATTGATAATATTACTTTCCTAGAATATATGGTTTAAGCTTATCCCAATTTCTTTTATAACAATGGAATAGTCAAGAGTCGTAACGTCTTCAGTATATAGCTTAATCCAATTGTTGTTACAAATTGTGGGTAGTAGGGAAGTTTCAACAATGCAATGTCCCACACATGCATTAAATGGAATTAGCAACCTACAGGACTTTTCTAATGCAGTCAAAGAGAGTTTAGTTTAGAATACACCTATGTATGATAACGCTGTTGTATATTAGTTGCGGATAGCATATGGTTAGTGTTTTATGGGATTGTTGAGCTAACGAATGGAGTTAGCAAAGCCTAGGGTTATAATAATACAAAATACTGTCAAACAACTGACAGAAATATATTTAACAATAGTATTGATAAGTAAAACTTGCTCCAAGCTATTTTCATAATGTTCTACTCCTCTACCAGTTTTGCCTTCAGATTCAAACCTAACTATACCCTAGTGAAGCAGTAATCAGTCTATAACCATTAACCAACGAGTAGTAAGACTGATGAGTTTCTGTGCACACTATATTTCGTTCTAGAAATTCTCTGAACAACTAATCTAGCTCTCAACCACCAGGCGTCGTTCCATGGATCCCCATGGATAAAGATCTACTCTATACACAGATGTGATAGATCCCCCAACTCGCCGTGTAGGAAGACCCTTCCGATCCCAAGGGCTTCACAATAATAGTTCTTCTCTGTGGGGGTTCGGACCGTTGTGCGCAAAGCTTTCTGAAGTTAATCCAAAACAGCTGAACGTTTGTGTCTCTTTGGAGACATTTTCACGCTTGAGTTGTCAAAGTAGAGGAGACCCATTGTCAGAATGGATTTCTTAATCATATAACCGCAAATAAAACACTGCCAACACATTTAAATATACATATTTATAGAAGAAGCTAATCAAAATGGAGACGCTAGTAGTACAGTAATAATAATACTTTATTGTCTTGACAATATACATTGTATCGACATCACGATTTATGAATTTTTAACTTGGGTTTATTATAAGTTTGAACTCTTTAAAATTTTTTTTTAAATTTAGATGCATTTTTCATTGAAGTGTTCAATAAATTAATAAATGGCGCAATAATAAACAAATTGTTATAATAGATTAAAATATTTTATGGTATTAAAAATAACGATAAATTATGAGCTATACCTATAAATAATAAATAAGTTTACCTCTAAATTGACTTCAGCTGATCCAAATGATGATAATTGTATAAAAGTGTGTTTTTAAATAAAAATACTAAGGCAGAAAATATACAGTTAAATTGCTTTTGAATGGTGAATGTTAACAGATAAATAGTAAGTACAAATATCCATACTACTGTATATGCAGGGCAGAAACACGCCTTACAAAACTTGTTATCAGATCTGGATGGATGATAGTCTATAAATCATAAGAAATCAACAGTCAGATGTTCACAACCCTTTTCCATCCCCTACACTTTTACCCCTCCCCCTCCGACCCTTTGAAATTAAAAGCAGTTATCAAGCTATTTCCAATCTCCCCACTCTTCAGCGTGCTGCCAACTCGCTTCTCTCAAAACGACCTTGCTTGGGAACTGCATTTCGACTGCAAGGTCATTATTTAAGATTGAAAGGCTACAGACACAGACACTGTTTGTAGTTCGTGAATATTTATCCCGTAATGGAATGGGAAATATCAAGTTATTGAATAAATAATTTGAACTGTCTTGCAGACCTTGCGAAGTATGAATGTACCTGGCTCCCTACCCAAGGTTGTTGCGAACGATTTGTTTAGTGTAGTGATGTTGTAAATTTCAAATTTTATTTTCCTGGGATAAATTTTAGTGAGTTTCCTGCTGAACTTTGGTCTTTGCAAAACTTTATGACACGTCTTACGAGGTTTTAATCGTTAAGTACAGCTCATGAGTAATTTGAAATTATTTGTGGTCAAACAACCTATGACGGTTCTTAAAAATACAGCTAAAATATGAACAAAAAATATTTTAACCGTCAGTCTTACTGTTCCTCAGATACTTTTGCTTCACAACCTTTTACTTCAATACTTGTTTTGAATGCTGGGAAAGGCTTCCACTTGCCTGGTTTAAATTTTACCTCCAAAACTCACGACTGATGGAAACACTTAAATATTCGGGAATTGCATCTACCCTCATCGGCGAAGACCGTTTTAACATACCCTACTCGTCTAAAGGAAGCTGACCTATTGCTGTTGTTGAACCAATTATTTAAGATATTGTTTTATTTTGCTGATGAACGTATCTCAAAATATTTTCTCGATCTTATTTAAGATATTGCTTTTTTCTGATGAACGTATCTCAAAACATTTTCTCAATCTTATTTATTTTATTTATTTATTCCAACGGCATATATCACCAATTTACAATGTGGATACAAGAAGCCTATGTGGTAACAACATGCATTTTAACAGAAAACTTAACAACTAACTTAAATCTATGGCAGGATCAGAGCAACATTGGTAACAGGAAATATAATCATGACTAGGAAAGCAATAATTAACAATGAAGTACAAAATAATTGTGAAAAAGCAATAACAAAGGTAAGAATTTGGACTGGCAATGGCAATACAGTTAAACAATCGATCAGCAAAAGCAAGGTAAATCTTTGGCTAGGTAAGCTATAATATAACAATGAAGTCGAAATAGAATATGAAAAAGCAATAACAATAGTAAATATTTGATCCAACAAAACAGTATTAAACAAACGATAACATAACTCTAACATGATTAAATTTACAGAAAACGAAAAAGATAGCAAATTACGAATAACATAACAACGGGAGAGACTAAGTTTCATTGGCAGGGGACCAGGGTGCGGCCGCAGAACGCCTGACGGCTGCTAGGCTGTCATGAAAGAGGTCCACTGAAGCCGAGACTCTCTATTGACTCTCTATTAGATGATGGTAGGGTTGAGAACCAGATCCCTTAAGATAGGGGTTTTACTTTTAGTTCCAGAATTGTGTGAATTGCTATGAGCATTAGGAACACATTGTTTTTGGGTTTGCTTAAACATGGCTTAAACTTGATAATTATTCTAACAATCTTGAACAAGCGACCAATGACAAACGATGTTACTCTTGAGAACGGCTGCTCCCATGCCCATAACATTAGCTTAGAGTAATCAGTCAATAACGTTTGGCCACATTTCACTTATTGGTTCTTGTCTGTTAATGCCTCTTCAAATATTAACTAAGAAGATACTATTAATCTCCGTCAAACATTTCAGTGCACACTGCCACACTCTATTGATAACCTTCACATGATAAGAAGGGAACCGAGTAAGTCTCGCCCATAAAACCTTGTTGGAGATTTAGTTCCTTGACTGTTATCTACGTAATTTATCTGGCTTCTAATTCCGATTGATTGCCAATTTTATTCTTATGTTACAGCTCTACACCTACATAGTGTCCCTTTTAATTGCCTTTAAATAATATTCTTCCCCCGAGTTTTGTTTACCATTATTCTAGCCACACATTGTTTACATGCTCCATAAGTGCTATTATTCTTTGGAGAAACAAATAATCTTACAGATCCTAAACTATGAGTAAAGCTAAACTCTGTCCCAGTAAAGAAAGGTAAGATTTGTTAAAACTGTTTCCTCACGAATGCATTTTTACAGGTGTAATTTACCATTGGATATTGCAGCTAAACATTTCATTCTCGTAAAATCCGTAGCTTATTGTGTTTTATATTTTCCAACGAGCCTCCTGACTCGTCACTACCTCTCTTTTTAGGATAGAATTACCTCCAAGATATTATATCTAGCCTATAATATTCTATCAGTATAATGTTGCAACATTATGTTACAATATAATGTTGTGTTTGTGGTAGTAGTTTGGCAGGTATTAATAATTAGACGCATCATTATACTCAATCATTTGTGGTCTTGTGGACATAAATATATTGGGGGAGTGAACCAACCTAGTGGTAAAGCGCGGGGGAGGTTCAGGTTCCCATCCTACCACTCAAAAATTGTTGTAGCTGTGTGATAATGCCACAACCCTCTACGAAAAGCCTGAAGTAACCTGAATGACGGTAGCAGTTTTAATGAAACTAAAGTTAAAACTTTGTTTCCCACACTTAGAAACATAACCTTCTACAGACTCACTGGCTAAGATCTGACCATGTCCTCACACAGAGCGAGTTAGAGATATGTGCGGAGGCGTGAAGTCAGCTGACTTTGGACCAAGTCCAGATGACAATCAAGTGTCCTGCATAAGTAGTTGTCACTGTGTCATATTTGTCACTTCTATTTATAATACCTGGTGACCGAGCTTTGCTCAGGATTAACAAGCTGGATCCCATTTTTGATCCTTCGAAATGGTCAATTCTAATCGTCGATGTTTTCCCACGCTCAGTTGTATACCGTATTTATTTGTACTTTGGCGATTAAAACACAGTTTCAATTAATTAACTTATCCTAGTTTACATTCGTTGTTTGTCAATTATTATTACTTACAATCTTACATGTATTAAAAAGAAATTGATACAGTAATGTGTTAAAATTGTTTTATGAAGGAAAATCTGCTTAATTAACGCACGGTCTTGACGATTTATTTCGTTCTCATACATTTCTTCTGGTTAGAAAAGTATACAAATAATCAATCAAATCATATATTTATTTAGTGTTAACTACGTTGTATAAAACTATTTTTTTCAAACCTGTGGCTTACTTCTAAATAGAAATAGCAACCGAAATCTTTAGGATATTGAATTTGAAAACACACAATACTTCTACACATTCGTGGAAGGAAGGTATTTAAGTTTGCTATTCACTTAATATTTACCCTATAAATTTTAATACACTTTTAGATAACAGACGAATTTCAAAGACTTTTCCACTTGTTCCAACTTTTATAACTTAAGTTTTCTTTTCCAGATGGCGCAATGTCGTGGTACGAGGACAACTACAGGTCAGTTACATCTGTAATCAAAACCAAAAACCATTTCTCCCCAAACTCTAACCACACATTAAAACTTTCTTCTCTCCGGCAAATAAAACTTGGAGTTATATATCAAGATGATTGACGACTCCCCATTCTAGAGATATATGATATTGTAGGCGTTGGATACAAATCTTTCAGTGGATAGCTCAAAGTTGGAATCTCTGGATAGGTCGGGCGCAACTATAAAAACAGTGGAAGGCGCTTGCTTGTTGCATTAGTCCTTTCTGGTGCCCACAAGACAATACAGTCAAAATAGCTTGAATAATAAGATGATTCCAACTAAAGAGGATATTAAATTTCCATACGTTTTATGGATTTTTCTCAATACTGTATTTTTGTTACAAAATCTTAATCCTATTATGCCTTTAATAAAATCGTTCACGATAAAACCCGTATGTTTGCTTACTTAGGTGTTTTGCTCTTACCCTAAATTAGACTGGGACGGGTGGCGTCGTCCTGTAATCCAGCTACTAGGAGGTCACGAATTGTGGATATTTATAGGGATGCACTGTGGATGCGATGCTCACTGGTGTGGATTAACGTCCGCACTAGTGAGTACTACGACTATCCGCAGTACTATCCTGATAATTAGACCAATTCGTAAATTACAAGGAAAAATGTGGTTCGGATTCCACTATAAACTGTAGGTCCCTTAGTTGCCATTAGCTGTATGGGCTATTAATTAACAGCTGTGTCTAAGGAACATGTCGGCCTTAGTCACTAACAAGACTACAAGATCGCGCCACTCATCCTACACTCATCCTTCACTCATATTTGGGTTAAAATACGCACATAGTGGCGTCCCCATCTTAAATAATTGATAATTGATAATTGATAATTGATAATTGAATTTGAGTAAGTCAATTATGTTTGTAAAATCCCGAGAAACTTTCCTGAAAATTAATTATTTTAATTTGTCAAACCTTAAATGCATGAAACCCTTTTTAACCGACTTCCCCACTACCAACAAAAGGAGGAGGTTCTCAATTTGTTTGTGGCGATGTTTTTTTTTTTCTATGTATGTTCACTAATTTCTCTGTGATTCTTTTACCGATCAGTGTGGTTCCACCACCAAAATAACCAGGAGAGTTTCTATTTGGTACCTTATATATTATATTTAAGTATAATATTTGTTTCGGTGAAAAATTCTGAAAACCTTAAATATTCAACATTTATTTTGTTTACATTTGTGCAGATTGTTTACATTTTTGCAGAGAAGGCAATAAATAATAATAACATTCCTACAGCTGTTAGTTGAAACCATTTAAATGAAGCTACAGACAATTCTTCTCATATTGATCAATAAACTATTTCTTGCCATGGAGCCTAAATGAATTACATTGAGAAAAGTGCATTTTGTTTTGATTACTATAAAAAATGTATTTTAACGTTTGACCTGATTTGTGTATACAGTAATTCTGTTTTTAGTATTGAATATTCTGACTTACAAAAACATGTATGTTTCAGTGAATAGCTGTATGATGTTGACAAATAAAGGTGTATTGTGAAAACCAAAGCATTCGTAAAACAGGTCTAAATATAAATTAAATGCAATTATTCCTTACACGACCTAAGAAGTGTGACAGTGCATAATCGTCAATTGTCTTAAAAATGTTAAATATTTTAATTACTAAACATGCATTTGCAGATGTGGAATGTTTATTGATATTCTCTACCCAGTTACTATATCATATCAATACTATTATGCTTGCTTCAGAAAGTCCTAGAGGAAGATGATTTGCAATTTCGACTAGGCTATATCTTGATCAAACAAAACCACCTACATGGCTTGCACCACTTTTAGCTGAACCAATCTTTCATATACATATTTCATTTGCAGATGTGGAATGTTTATTAATATTCTCTACCCAGTTACTATAACATATCAATACCATTATGCCTGCTTCGGAAAGTCCTAGAGGAAGATGATTTGCAATTTCGACTAGGCTATATCTTGAGCAAACAAAACCCCCTACATGACTTACACCACTTTTAGCTGAACCAATCTTTCATATAATATTTTCCAAAGGTACTATACGTGTTAACGACCAATTTTCCACTTTTGAGAGATTTTTTAGTGCTGGTAGCTGAGGAATAACTTTCATATTGTTCCAAAAGGCTTGAGACGTTACTGTATTTCTTTTTATAATGTAGAAGTACACCGATTGCAGGAAACGATGATGTCTGACATTTCAATGTATCTAGAAAAGACAATTAGTTTTTCATTAGGCCTAATGTAATGGACAACTCTTTCTTTCTTAAGGAATATCTAAAAATGTTTATTTTCATACCCATTGATTATGTAACCTGAACAGGTGACTCAAGCAGTTTTAAAATAATGATTGTTCTGTGGAACTTTTGATTGTTTCAAACAGTTTTGCTTATCAAAAAACCTCAAGTAATTAATATATAAAAAATTATACTGTCACTAAAAATCATGAAATAATTTATTTTTGTAAAAAAATACAACCGACTTCAAACGCTCTAAAAAGAATGAAATAATTTCAATAAAGTAAACTTTTGTATTAGGCAAGCTCACGTATTTCAAGTCGGCGCGGCTCAAACTGCAAATATGATTGAAATTAAATATTGTACGTGTATTTTGAAAATCAATAAAATGTAGCTGAAAAACATAAATATATAAAAAACATACTGAACTATTTTGTTTATAAAGGAAATATCTTCTTATATTTTATGTTTACTTCAGAATAATTAATCTATATGAATTGGAAAATAATTTAGTTTGATATTATGATAGGGAAAAGAAGCTAGTTTAGTATTAAAACGTTACTTTTCCAAGTTAGAAACATTTAAATGCGTTATAATCTTTTTAAAGATATTCGTTAATACCACTATAATGCCGATCTCTGATTACGGTAATAAAACAACACTTAACGCATAACTATGAAAAAGACATGCAGATTAACACCTTTAGTTATAGATAGTCACCTGCAATATGGACACCCTCTTTCAATTTTGTATCAAAAATCATCATAGAGCCGCGCCGACTTAAAATACGTGAGCTTGCCTAATACAAAAGTTTACTTTATTGAAATTATTTCATTCTTTTTAGAGCGTTTGAAGTCGGTTGTATTTTTTTACAAAAATAAATTATTAAGATCTTAATAAATGCTGTTAAATATTCTAACCTTGTTATAAAGTTTTATCCTGGTTACATTCAAATTGACTTTTGATCAAGCATGCGTCAACTAATTGCTTTTCACAAATTATCAGAGGAAAAATAGCTTTATTTTTTTATAATATTATTGCTATAAACAAAATACTTCACCAACAATCCTAATTCTCTGGTTTGAGTTTAGACTGCAAAGGAGATGAATGAACTAAAATGTTTACCCAAGTTTTACAACCAAACAAATATTTATGTTTAGAAATTGTTTTATGTTTGATTCATATTTGTTCATATTAGCACAGTATTTACACAAATCAAATTTATTTACGTGTTAACTTGAATATACTGTACATTTAAAACATGTCTTATACTGTACATTTAATAAATGTAAGTATAAGTAATTTGACGTCAGTACACATATTCTCACTCAACAACACATTTACATTTGCGTTCTTATCTAGATTGAGTCAGTCCACCCAATCAAAGAGCTCGGTTGGCCGCCAGATCAATCTGTGCCAAACCGGACACGGAAACGATTTAATTAAAGACGAGAGGCGCGTGGCGCCAAACTCTACGTTGCCTTGGAGGGGGGGTGGGGGGGGTGGAGCCTATCCTGCGCGGTGACAACGCATGCGCAATAAAGCTCCTTTTTCAGGTTTGCACATGTACAGGCTTTCACGTGCGTCAATGCGTTTTGGCCAATTTGCAGTAAAATAGTGCCACTTTCACTTTAATACATCAACAGGTTTATATTATTTTAAAATTAGCTTATGTGTAGTCCGCTAAAAATTACAGAGTTTTTCAATAAGCCCGTCTGAAGGAAAACACACTGTTTGTATTTGAGTGGTTGGCACTTTTTAGAAATCCAAGTTTGAAAGGAATACCATTTTTATTAAAATGTTATTAAATGAGCTGATCTTTTACATAGCTCATTTATCAAACTGGAGTTAATCGTAGTAAAGTGACAAAATAGCTCATAAAGACAAACACTGCGTTATTGATAGGTTCATCATACTTGTTTACAACTGAAGTAATTATGTGGGAATATCATTAATGGCTGTCCGTGAGATCCTGCATCACGGTATGTTTCTGAACGATATAAGCAGGGAAAGCTTAATTAAAGTATTGCTAAACACGTTTCATTTTCTTTTATACAATACAAGTGCAATTAGAAATCTCGTATACTATTTTAATGAATCTGGTTAGTGATAATTTTATTGCTATGAACTCTTTACTAAGGAGATTATATATATGTTAAATTAACCAAACTATCCAAGATAATTAAATTTTAATCTTAAATAGTGGTACAGTATTGGTAATTTTTTTTTTTTTTTTACCAAAGTGGGACTATAACGGGTGGGACTAAGTTGTAACGAAGTGTTAAAAAAACGTATGTTTCTAGATAATAAATCTGACTTGTGTTTCAGAACTATTTTTAATTTTTAATTAAAATAATTACCAATGCATCCAATTATGAAAAGTTTTGTAAAATGAAGAAAACCCAAATTTAAGTCGTTAAACAGTATTTCTTCACACATTTCCGTATGTGTTTTAATTTCAAATTAATTTCAGATAGTATATAGAGAGTATATTTTGTACTAGCCAGATTGAAAATAAATTGGGTGTGCCTATCAAATTAGGCAACATCTAAAAATCCAAAACAATTCCCTGCCCTTTTCTTTCTTTTTGGAAGTTTTCGTACGTATACGTAAAAAATCAGAACCGTGTGAAACCAACTGTAATGGAAGATGGGGAGAATCAAAGAGGCACTGTCAAGATTAAGAGCTGAGCAAAATTTATTTCTCTAATAAACTGTCCTCGAGGATTCGGCAAAAAC